CCAAAATATGTTTACTCCAATATCTGCATATTTTTTTTTAATGGCATGTAGACAAACAAATTGACACATTTATTTTTTTTTTGTTTTTTTTTTTATTTTATTTTTTTGGTCATTTAGCAGACGCTCTTATCCAGAGCGACTTACAGGAGCAATTAGGGTTAAGTGCCTTGCTCAAGGGCACATCGACAGATTTTTCACCTACACATCTTGATTTTAGATGTTTATTTTCAAAATCCACAAGTTATACACAAGTAAAACCTTCACAGTTTCAAAGAAATGTTCACAGAATTACTACTATTTTAAAATAATAATTTATTTGAAACGTAGGCACTAACTATAGTCATTTATTTATTTGACTTAACATAGCCTTGCAGTCCACCTTTTTGGTATTTTGTACCAGTTTCCATCTCTGTACAAAGGCATGGGCTTCAAGCTATGGAAGATGGCAAAACATTGAACAATAATAATTGATTGGACTTTGCACTTTTGTAGACACCCAAAGCTCTTTATAGTGTAAGGGGAAACTCGCCACCCTAACCCCACTTACATACTCTTTATTTTATTTATTTTATTGGCCCCCCCTCTTCAGAGGACAAAAGTAACTTTGTTTTCCATTTTAGTTTTATACAGATATTTTGTTACATTTTGTTCCACACCAAAAACCATGAATTACAGGCAATATCCGCGCTGGGCTAAAGGCTAGAGCTACCGCTTACAACGAACGGGACACGGACATGGACGCATACAAGAATGTCCTCTACGACCTCCGACGAGACATCAAACATGCAAAAGGACAATATAGGAGGATGGTGGAATCCTATTACACCTGCCCCGACGCTCGTCGTATGTGGCTGGGCTTGCAGATGATAACGGATTAAAAAGGGAAACCCAGCCATGAGTTGCCGAGCAATGCAGGACTCCCAAATGAGCTAAATGCCTTTTACATTTACATTTACATGCTTGCTTCTAGGAATATAACACTGTGCCTTGCGTGAAAGCCTCTGTTTTTCCGGATGGCTGTGTGATCTCGCTCTCCATGGCCGATGTGAGCAAAACGTTTAAACAGGTGAACAATCACAAGGCCGCAGGCCAGACGGAATACGAAGGCGCGTTCCCAAAGCATGCGCAGACCAGCTGGTAAGTGTCTTCACAGACATTTTCAATCTCTCCTTGTCCCAGTCTGTAATCCCAACATGTTTCAAGCTGACCACCACTGTCCCTGTTCCCAAGAGCTCCAAGGTAACCTGCCTAAATGACTATCACCCTGTAGCATTCACATCTGTGAAGTGCTTTGAAAGGCTGGTCATGACACACATCAACACCATCATCCCAGACACACTAGACCCACTCCAATTCGCATACCGCTCCAACAGATCCACAGATAACGCAATCTCAATTGCACTTCACACTGCCCTCTCCCAGCTGGACAAGAGGGAAAATAACTGTGTGAGAATTCTGTTCATAGACTACAGCTCAGCGTTTAACACCATAGTCCCCTCCAAGCACATCACCAAGCTAGGGACCCTGGGACTAAACCCCTCCCTCTACAACTGGATCCTGGACTTGCTGACAGGCCGGCCCCAGGTGGTGAGGGTAGGAAACAACATCTCAACCACACTGACCCTCAACACGGGGGGCTGTCAGGGGTGTGTGCTTAGTCCCCTCCTGTACTCCCTGTTCACACACGTCTGCGTGGCCACGCACGACTCCAACACCATCATCAAGTTTGCTGACAACACGACAGCGGTAGGCCTGATCACCGATGGCAATGACTCAGCCTACAGAGAGGAGGTCAGAGACTTAGCAGTGTGGTGCTAGGACAACAACCTCTCCCTCAATGTCAGTTACACCAAGGACCTGATCGTGGACTATAGGAGAAAGAGGGGAGAGCACGCCCCCATCCACATTGATGGGTTTGTTGTGGAGTGGGTCGAGAGCTTCAAGTTCCTTGGCGTCCACATCACTAAGGACTGAACATGGTCCACAAACACCCGCACAGTCGTGAAGAGGGCACGGCAGCACCTCTTCCCCCTCAGGAGGCTGAAAATATTTGACATGGGCCCTCGGATCCTCAAAAGTTCTACAGCTGCACCGTCGAGAGCATCTTGACTGGCTGCATCACCACTTGGTATGGCAAATGCACCACCCTTGACCGCAAAGTGCTACAGAGGGTGGTGCGGACAGCCCAGTATATCACTGGGGCCGAGCTCCCTGCCATCCAGGACCTCTATATCAGGCGGTGTCAGAGAAATAGACACACGCACGCTCACACACTTTTACACTCATAATTTGCTGCTGCTAGTCTGTTCTTTATTTTACTCTTATTATTATCTATCCTGATGCCTAGTCACTTTACCCTGCCTTCATGTACATATCTACCTCAAATGCCTTGTACCTCTGCACATTGATCTGGTACTGGTACTCCCTGTATATAGCTCCATTCTTGTGTATTTTATTTTATTCCTCTTGTGTTACCATTTATTGTATTTTATTATATTTAAACTCTGCATCATTGGGAAGGGCTTCATAACCAAGATGTTCACAGTAAAGTCTACAACAGTTGTATTTAGCTCATGTGACAAATAACATTTGATTTGATTTTTTATTTGAGACACAAAAAAACGTTATTGCAAACAGCCTTATGTAGAGTAGACTAATATCACCTAGTAGGACAATAGTGTAATGCTGTATGATGTGTAGGCTATAGTGTAGCCTAATGATGTGTTAGGGCAAACATGGTCTCAAATCACTGATGCAGAAGAGGTGCTCTGCATTTTGACTGAGAATATGGTAGCCTAATTAATCATCATGAGAATCCTCTCCCCATATTCCAAGGTTCCAAAAAAAATAAAAAATAACGTTTACATGCTAGCTCAAGAACAGGTCGGCTATAATAGTCGATGGGATATACAGAATCAAAGATTGTGGGTTGGCTGTAGCCTGTATCCTTGCCTGCGCCATGTCTAGTAGTACTGTCTGTGTCCCTCCCGACTGAAGTGTGTGATACTTATTTAGCATTTCCAGGACCCGTTAACATTTTGAATTTAATTACTGCAGTCATCGACAGGCTTATGTGTGAGCATCTCATCCTTGCGCTCCGTTATTCTTCCTCTGATGCAATCCATAGCCCAAATTAGGAAAAACGCACTATGGTGTCATTCAGATCTAATCAAATGTGGACCAATTTCACGTCGATTGCCAGAATTGAGATATATGATTCAGCCTTTCTCTGACAGGCCTCGGAACTGACCGGGTGGTGCACATAGACAAATGATACAGGTTTACTTGTCTATTATAATGTCTATTTTCTCACTACAAATTAAATATTGCAGAAATGCACTCGTAAAAGGTCACCAACGCCTCTAATGATATTTAAGAAGCTATAATTAAGATATATCTTATTCTGAATCAAAGGCTCTAATTCGCATATAACGCGCATAAATGCTTTGAAACAATTATCTATTTGCATGATTGTCTCATGTTAAAAAATGGGAATACAACTGATAAAATCGTCAATAATAATCCATCATAAGAAAATCCTAGGCCTCCCATGAATATTATAACCTCAAAATACATCTTACCTTAACGTCTCCACCAATCAGATTGTCCTTCTCTTGAAATTGACATCAATATGCTTATAATGCATGCGTAAAATAATGTTGTTAAAAATCTGGTTACATTCCACATATGTGAATCCGGCAGTCGCACTGTTTTTAATTCCGATAGGTGATATGCTTCATCCCGCCTTGCTGTTCCGCCAAAACGGACGCGAGAGGGATGCCACTACCGGCCAGTCGTTGGTATCGCAGCAGAATGCATGAGTCGAATTGTATTGCATTTTACATTTAAGTCATTTAGCAGACGCTCTTATCCAGAGCGACTTACAGTTAGTGAATACATTTTTTTTATACTGGCCCCCCATGGGAATCAAACCCACAACCCTGGCGTTGCAAACGCCATGCTCTATCAACTGAGCTACATCCCTGCCGGTAGCGGCCGGCTGCGACAGAGCCTGGATTCGAACCAGGATCTAGTGGCACAGTTAGCACTGTGATGCAGTGCCTTAGACCACTGCGCCACTCAGGAGTGTTGCATGTATTGCATGTACATTATAAAATGTACTGCAAAGTAATAGGCTAGCCTCGATCAGACCAACAGCATCATTGCATTTTGGACCAGAAGTACACACATTTCCAATTTTGCAACAATATGCATCAAATTGTATGCATAGACTTGACAGAGATAGTAGCAAAATGTGAATGTTGAACTTTTGTTGCACACATATTCAGTAAAAAAGTTTGACTGCACAACTGGAGATAGGCTGAGCAGGCCAAATCTTCACCCTTCCCGAAGTGTTTATCCAATTATTTGCTTACAATCCCATGCTTTTAAATCAATGACGGGAGTGTGCGCTTCAATTGTGTTGCATTGCATTTTGTCTAAAAACTAGAACACAAATAAAACCGTACGGAAACATTTCATAGCATGCCATATAATGAGTGGATATCACTGGGCGAATTCGTTTAACATCACCCGGTGCCCCGGGTGAGCGGGATTATTATTTTAGACCATTCCAATGGTCCTTACGTGAAATATCAACACTTCCGGGGCACCGGGCCATGCAAAACGAACTCGCCCAATGATGTGTAGTGGGTACTACAAAGACAGGTAGGCGGCCTAGACTATAGAATCTGATCCCAAATCAGACTTGTCAATTTGAGCCACGCCTATACATGCTTATTCGGACCAATCGAGGAAACATTCGTGTCCAAAAGGAGGGATTCTGGAAATGTTTTACAATTATCCAATAGGACAACGTAGTGGCTTTGATTGACATGTATAATACCGTATTCTGTGGTATTTTATGTCGATGATGTCCAATCCACATTAACCATGTTTTGACGTTCCATAGAACAAATAAACAATTAACGAGACCTGACAGATGTAGATAGCTAGCTTTTATACCATAGAAGAAAAAGAAGAAGAAGAAGCTAGCTATCATGGCTGCTTCCGTGGTTAGGTGGTTGAGGGGATTGTACGTTTTCTTTTTGACATGTCTGCTATCAGTTTTGGCATTCTTGAATCTAGAGGAATTGAACGAGATGAAATATGGGATCCAGATTCTTCCCGATCCCGTCATTATGGGACAGGTGAGGCGTGAAATAAAGATATTCTAGTTTACGTTAGCTAGCATGCATGGTCTCAGCGATTCTGTCCAGTTCGCTATCTATTGTAGGTAGCTAGTGTGGAGTCAGATGGCTAGTAGCTTGCTAACGTTAGAGTCAGAGTCTAAGACTATTTCGTGATATTTGAATTAAATAATAATGCACTAGCTAGCTATAGAATTAGATGTAGTAACGTTATAGTGCTGCTAGCTAGCGCGCCTGTCAAAAATGCGAACAGCTAACGTTAACACCTAAAATGCAGTCAATAACAGTAGGCTAACGTTACCGTTATGTACAGACATATACATTGTGCGAACTGTTGCTACCCACTAATATGTAGCTAACTGGCCCTATCGTTTAGAAAACGCAGTTTCAAGTTGACAGCAGCAATCAGATAGCATCTCGTTAACTAGCTATGTAGTACAGTCTGTTTTATCTAACGTTATGTCATGTTTTTCACACTGCAGGCTAAGACAGAAGAAGTCATGCTGGTGTCCAACAAATACAAGCAGATGTATGAATGTCGCCTTCCAGCCCAGGCAGTGAGGTTTCACCAGGACCGAGCCTCTGAGCCTGACTCCCAAGGCTACACCGGACCAGGCATCGCAGACCTGCTCAAGCCCATGCACACGGCCCCCTGCCTAGTAAAGGTCAGACACACACACGCAAGAAGACTAAGGGGAGGAATACTATATCACTGCCTAGAGACAACGGTGCTTCATATTGCATCAATGTCTAAACTGTTTTCACCCCTGACCTCTTTACACCAGAACTATTGCAGACAGTTATAAAGTGATGCTTTTAATGAAATGGAAGACCATACGTTTAGTTGGCCCTGGTTGGATGCTTGCAATGAGTTGTGCAACTTGTATTGACAGTTAAATCCCTTGCGTGCTTATCTGATTGGTCGGTTTGCATAACCTAACCCTGCAAATTGTCTCTACAATATTGTCTCTACAATAAGCTACCTCTCTCTTTACTGTATATGGATGAAGAGGTCACTCGGAAGGTTGAACTTGTAATCTACCGGACCTTGAGTTGGACAGACTCCATATGCATATTAGAAATCAACTTCTCCATATATGGCAGCATAGACTATTTGCTATTTCTTCTAGTATTGTAAGGCCACTGTCAACATGGATATGAAATGTCATAGCAACTGAAACGTTGTCATTCTCTATGACTGCAGACGAAAGACTGGTGGACATATGAGTTCTGCTATGGACAACACATTAGACAGTACCACCTAGAGGGTAAGATTTATTTTCAACAACTGTTTTTGCCAAAAGTGAACACAAGTAGCAACAGCTGGATCATCTTGTTTGTACTCACTGTTTACACTTTCAGCATGTTTATTTAAGATCCCCATGTCATTATGTACTTCTCTGGTGTTGACCTGTCTAGTGTTGACCTGTCTAGTGTTGACCTGTCTGTCAAGTGCTGCTGCATCACATGGTTTACCTGATGCTACTTTGTCTATTTAGATTTAGGCCATGCCTCAAATGATGGTCTGTTTTTATCTCTCCACAGACACTGACATCAAAGGGGATGTTCTCTTCCTGGGGTACTATGATTCAGAGTTTGACTGGAACAATGAAACAGCCAAGGTAAACGGTTTGTTTCTCTGTTGCATGCAGCCACCCTCCTCTCTCCCCTTATAGGATTTTGTCATACTTTGTGGTGTTACTGTAGTATGTGTTTATAACTCTTCTCATACAAAGGACTAAAGCAAGAGTTTTTAGATGTATACTTGCTGTAAAACATGCAAGAGGCATGTTGTATAAGCCAATTGAAAAAAAAATAACAGAAAAATCTCAAGCTGTTTAGATTTGTATTCTACTTTGTTATTAACCCATTTTAATATAGTTGAATTAAGGTTAGAGTGAGTGCTTGGCAGGTACGGGCTGCTTGTTGATTTTGGAACACAGCATGTACCTTGTTCAGGTTGATGACATGATGAGGGAAAGAACAGCATGAGCCTGTTGACTTGACTGCTACAGCAGAAGTGACTCCCTCCCCTGAGACTCACCCGCTGTTTCAAGTTGTATTAGTCGTATGTACAGGATACACATGGTATACACCGTCCAACTAAATGCTTACTTGCAGGTTCCTTCTCGAAATGCAACAACAATAAGAAATAAGAATAAAAGATAAGAATACAAACATAAAGTAAATGGCTCAGTAGAATAGAATAAACATTTAAGCATAAGTATAATACAGGAAGGCAAAATTGATTGTACAATATTTACACAGGAAAGGGGGTGGGGGGGGCGGCAAGTGTTTAAATTTGATGTGATGGTCCGTGCAATTTGATGATACAGTAGAATATCTGGCAAATACGAACTTCTCTTTCTCTCCCTCCCTGGCGCCCAGGCCTCCAAGCAGCACAGACTGAAGCGCTACCACAGTCAGAGCTACGTCAACGGCTCCAAGTGTGACCTGAACAGGAGCCCCAGGGAGACTGAAGTCAGGGTGAGAGACTATGAGATGGTGTCTTAATATTGCAATAAATATCAGTAAGGACAACCTGTGTTTTATATTGTATTTAATAAATCTTGTAAAACTGCAAACACATTAGATATGACTGGTGTGACTCCTTGGCAATCCATGACCTCTGACCCCTGATCTGCTCTGCTCTGGTCTATGTCTTCCAGTTTGTGTGTGAGGAGGGCTCGGGGGACTACGTGGCCCGTGTGGACGAGCCCCAGTCGTGCCGCTATGTGCTGACGGTCCACACCAGCCGCACCTGCCAACACCCCTTCCTGCTCCTGCCCTACACCGCCAAGCCCCAGGGCGTTGTGTGCCAGCCAGCCCTCAGCACCCAGCAGTACATGGACTATGTCAAGGCCCAAGTCTGTGAGTCAACAGGGGGCTGGGGGTCTTTGGGAGGGTGCTTAGCCTACATGTACTGTGACATAAAGCCTGGCTAAATATTTTAATTGGTACTTCCCTAATTTCACAAGCCCTAAGGAATAATGTAACTCTGCTTCTCTCTCTCTCGCTCTGTCTGTCTGTCTTTCATTTTCAGCTGATACGAAACGTAAAGTGGAGCAGATCTCAGAGGAGCTGAAGACTCTTGATGAGATGTTGGCTGGTGACGAGGGGACTGACGAGGGGATAGACGAGGACTCAGCGATGCCAATTGATGACCCAGACGTCCTGGGGTCAGACACAAAAGGTGCAATGCCCATTTGTTTAATCTAAGTCCTTTATTTATTGGACGTGTGTGTTGGTCTGATACTAGACAGCTTGCTTGCAGGATTCTATAATGAAAGTATCATATTAAGAAATAATCAGTCCTCTTGATTCATTCCTGTTGGGCCAGATGCAGTTGTCACCTCTGAAGAGCCAGAGGATTCTGATTTCTGGGAGGGAGTGACAAAGCCAGGGAGTACCACAGCAACTGACACCACTTCAGAGCATCAGGTACACAGTCAGTGATCATCATAATATCTTTGAACTTATGCCTTAGTCTTCCACAAGATGGCACCAACAGTGTTTTGTTTTCACAGGCTGGAGAGGATGCCTATGATAATCAGCTCACAGACAATGAGGTCACAGAGGATGGTAATGTATTAAACTGGCATTTAAAAAAAGTATCACTGCAATATCACATCTGATGCTTTCAAGTCTTTTCCTTTTGGTTAATATCCATCTGGTGTTTTTGATTTCTCACAGCTTTTGGAGATGAACAATTCAACTTCAAGATCATCACCGACCCTGCAGACCTGATGAAATTTGTGCAGCATCTCAAAGAGAGTAACAGAAAGGTTAGTGCTGCATTTAGGCCATGGCACAGTTGACTTTTACCCATAACAATGTATTAATAATGCAGTGACATTTTTGTGCTTTTAATTTCAATATGGTTAATTCTGACTTCCTTATCAGAAAGCACAAAATGAAGCCAAACAAGAACGAGAGGAACTCAGAAAGGAAAAGGAGAGGCATGGAGGCGAGGATGAGGAGGGGGATGAAGAAGAGCATCTCCTGCTGCAGGAGTTTGAGGAGGAGATAGCTGACATCACGGTGCCTTCTGCCAACATCGAGGAAATGAAAGAGGAAATGAAAAAAGGGTTTGACAACATCATAGACGAGGTGCGAACAGACACTAGAGATGCTAGACAGGCTGTAAATGGATCTCTGTAATAGAACAGGTTATTGTCTGGAATGATGTGTTTCAAGTTATTGAGTGCTCAACCACATTATGGGCCAAACATGTGAGGTAGATGGACATCTAAATTATCATTATTATTTTGTCAAAATTTTACATAATTTCAGTCATATTTACTTGATTGTTACTGTTGATAGGCTCACTGGTACGGTCTTCCTTTGCTTGATGGGTTTCTATTTGTGTTCTAGGCTCAGCAGGAGCTGGAGACAGAGGGTCTGAAGGGGGAGTTTGACCGCACTCAGGCAACCCAGACCCTGGAGGCTACTCTGGACAAGCTGCTGGACCGCCTAGAGGACAAAGAGGCAGAGCCCCAGACAGAGGGAGGCCAGAGGGCCAACGACCCAGCCAGGGGCAGTCCCAGCCTAGCCCCGCGACAGCCAGGTAACTGGGCTCTCTGCCTGGGGCTCCACCCTCTGGGCCTGGGTGTATGTGTTCATAGATCATACATCTACATCTGTGTATATTCATTTCTATGTAGATGTCTGTCATCATTTCTTGTTCCATCTCATGTTCAGTACCCTTGGAGATGCGCTGTTCAATGCTCAGGGGAGAATAAAACGGCTGTAGGCTATGTCAGCATACTGACAGGCCCATATATAGAGAAAGGGCATCATAGAATACCGGTAGTGAATTGAAAACTATGAGAGATCCCACCCACATTCCTGGCTTTAACTCCTACATCCTGTTGCCCTACTTATACTTGTTGGGAGGTGACCTCTGTTGTTTGTCCCTCTTTTGTCTCGTCACCCCAGACCAAGCGGCTGACGATCATGTTAAGATCAGAGTTACTAAGTATAAGACAGGCAGCAGTCCCGATGGGGAGGTCAAAGTTCAGGAGATGGGCGAAGGCGACCCCCAGTGGCAGCACATTAAGGACGTGGTTAAAGAACAGCTAGAGAAGGCGGGACTGAAGGCCGAAGGTAGGAAGGGGAGTGCCCAAAAACACACAGCCCGTCTCTCTCTTTTCCTCCTGATATATTTAGCATATGATCATATCACTCTCTTCTCATCTAATTTGGGCTATTTAGGTCAGGTTCCAAAAATAGAAGGGGGTCACTGGCAAAACAGAGCTACGCATTGCATGATCATCTCTTATCTGTTGAAATGTGTTTTTAAATTCCCTTCTTCAATCTCTGTTGGTGTGTGGCAAAGTTAATGTGTGAACATATTATCCGAGGAAGCTTCTGGGTGTGCTTGCGATATTAACATTTCAAAATAGGCTTATCTGATTTAGGCCTCACATAGCATAAAATATCTATTTAAAAGAGGTGTAGATGCAATAGTGACACTGATGTCTCATCCATTTTCATCATCTGTCTTTTATGTGTTTTCCATGTCCTGTTTCTATTATCTGTTCGCATTTCTTATATTATTGCTTACTGTATGTGGTATTGTGCTAGAAGCTTTTCAATAGGGTTGCTGGCTGATATTTATGTTTGTGCACATTTCAAGCTGTCCATGTGCTAATGTATGTTTGGTGTATATTTATATGTGAATGAGAGGTTAGACAATGTGGTATTTTTGCCTGTTTGTGTGTATGTGCTTTGTTGTTTGGTGTATGTGAAACACCTGTTAGTATTATAACGTTGCTAGATATTTTTTAAGGTAAAATTGAGGTGAAGATTATAACACGAAGGACAGCTGAGGAGGCTGGGGACCAGTGGTTGACTGAAGAAGATACCAAGTCCTTCAGAGAGCTGCTCATCAACCTACTGGTAATTACAATTAAAAGGATCAACCTTTCAAATATACTACAGAGTTTTCTTTTCTGTCTAGAAAAAGGGTTTTTGATATGTGTTGAAAGATATCTGTAAGGACATTTTCTCCATTTGGTTCAACGACTGCTCTCAAAACCAATATAAGCAATTGATAGAGAGTAAAGCAGTTCAACATTCTGGAAGAAGCCTTTAAGTAATATGAGTAATTGTGTGTGCTATTCTTTTGATCTGCCCTGAATGTCTCTCAGACGGGGGGAACAGAAGAGGTTTACAAGGAGCAAAAGAGACAGCAGGAGTTGGAAAACAACTACAGATTTGTATGGGGAGAGAGACAGAAAGAGGCCCAGTCCACCAGTACTGCACCGGACTCAGACGATGTGGAGTTATGAGCTCTTGGGAGACGTTTCCTCGTATCGTGGGAACCAAGCACCTGTGGAGGCTAGAAGACAGGGAGTGTCCCACTCCCCTGTCAGAACTCTGAACTCACTGCTAAGTCTCAGCTGCCCCTGGACCCCACTGGTAAAACCAGTGTCCACAAACACACCTGTTTCCACACTCAGAAATGTGTTGTGTCCGTATCAGGCACTTATGTACCTTGCACAAACCAATCCAAATGTTTCAGCTGTGGTAGTGTAATAGTGTCAGGTTTTGTTTTCTCTCCTCTAGTGGGAGGCCAATGTGATGGCTGAAAATGCATTATTTCAATGTTGATCGCTATCAGTTGGGATGAGAGGAGGGTGAAAAACACCATGGACTGGACAATTTGCACATGTGAAAATGTATATTTCTTGGACTGTAAATGAGGTTGAACTTTGCATTTCTACAGAACTATGATGCCCTCTCGTTCTGTATCCGCACAGCAGTGCTTATAATTACTCCTCTGTATTTGTTTGCTGCTCTACACTCATTAAATCACCTCAATGAGTGATGCAATAGAGGAATTGACCTGGTATTTACACTTGGCTTCACAAAACTGGATGAATACAATATGTTTGCAAAAGGAGTGTTCTGTTCAATTTATCTTAATGTTTAGAAATTCTGCAATGTTTAAAAAGAATCCAGGTTCGAAATCCTGAAAAAGAGTGAGAGCCACATGCTGTTGTAGCCTGGGTACCAGTCTCTCCACTCTCTCTACTCCATGTAATGTGCCAAAGGGACTGGCCTTTCTGCTATCTTCAGTGAACATTCTATTATTAATGAGCTCGAGCAGAACAGAGGATTTGATCCTGATTAGATCGGTACCATGTCACTTTTTTTCTCCACAGAACACATTGGTTTAATCTAGACAAACAAAAAAGCAACCGGATACCAATCTGTCGAAAGTTGCTACAGTAGCTCACATCTAAAATCTCAACCTAAATACATACTGCAATTCCAACCAAAAAACGTCTTAAAATTCAACTTGATAACAGCTAAATGTTTGTTTTTGACGTTGTTAGAAATTATAATTATATTTTTGAGGCGCCTCATGTTGTCATGGGAAATATAAATGTTATTTCCAGCAACCAATGAGCAACTCTGCCGTAAATCCAGCGCATGTTAAACCGTCTCTTTGGCAATGACAAGGACTGGCAAGGAGTGGAATGTTAGCTAAAGAGGCTGGTACTCAGACTAATGCTGTTGTGGTTTATAGGTTGAACCACAATTTGAACTATTTAAATCAGAATGAGTGTGATTTAGTAAAGCTTTTACTCTTTAATTTGGTCATTGTGGAATTGACATGCTTGTTGAAACATTAATCATACTTCATATAGATTTTGTAGCACTTTAAAAGATGAGAATTGTTTCTGGAAACTTGAAATGTATACATTTTGAATGTTGAAAACCGTTATTTTGAAGATTCAGATAATATTTTGGTTTAATGGCATTTGGAACCAAATTATACTAAAGTATTTTCATTCGAGAAGTAATTTCTCTGAAATAATTATTGGACCTCACCTAGTGAGCAAAATCGGTTAAATGACGTCATTCAACGCCTTTTCATCCAAAAAGTTATATTTTCAATATTGTGCTCATAGGGCAGCTGTTCTTATCAACACCTTCATTTTATAGTTACAACCTTGGCATAGGACAACATAGAAAACTTTAATGCTAGGAAACTGATTAGGAAACAGACATTTCTGACTTGCTAACTGAATGAATGCAGGACGTGTATAACCACAACCAGTTAGCAAGTTGGAAATGTCAGAGTTTCCTAGTTCCGACTAGCACGTGAACGCAGCATAAACCCACCAAGATTTATTTTTGCGCAAAGGTTTCTTCAGAGATGTTGAAGGGCGTAATGTGTATAGTTTGTGAATTATTGTAGCTCCTCAAAATATGTAAATAGTTTTGCTTGAACATATGAGGGGATAATGTTATTTTGAGCTAAACCCATTATAAGCACACTTCCTTGTGGGTTGAGGGATGTTATTGAGTGAAGATGTCAAACAGATCCAATTTTGATACATTGTAAATTCTTGTAGGCCTACACCAGATGGACACCCTCCCTAAAAGTAACTTTGAGCTGCCTTGTAAAATCTTAATATACTCATACCTTGCTGATTTAAAATAAAGACCATTAGAAAAAACATGGGCAAGATATAACACAGTGTTTATTGATATTTTTAGGAATTCCCTCAGTGGTTTCAACTTGCAGGTGATAGGCCTACATGGAGGAAACAACTGCGTTTTCTGTCAACAACCCTCACAACACCCTCACATTTTCCTCCACATTTTTTTGAAGTTATGTTGAAGCTATTATCATAAAGATAATATTTTCCAATACAGTGTTACTTGGTTAGAACGTTTGCCTTACGTCAATGACTGTATTATGCTCTGGTGCCACTCAATGATGGTTGTTCCTGTTGTGTGTAGAATAGAAATAGAGGGCGGGGACTAAGGCAAGAAAGCGCAAAGGATTAACCAATCAAGGGATTCAGATACAATTTGTTACGTTATAATATACGTTATAATATATTATAACATATATTATTATCAGAAACTGGTGTGTATTTATTCCGCCTAATCTGTTGCAAAACGTTTCTTAAACGGAAGCAAACGAAACGGGGTGCGAGCTACCTGAATTTGTCCAATGGAAACTCGTTTTGCTCTCTTTGCTTCGGTTTGGTTTTTAAATGGTAAACGGGTTCCGTACTGAACACACGCTTGATGTTGACGTTACCTGTGCCTCAGTGTGCAGCACAACATAGCCACCCTTAAAGAGGCTTTTAACATCGATGTTTAGCCTGTGGTTAAAGTAGTTGAATTTCCTATTGACAGTATTAAATGAACGGACTTTACGCAATAGTGAAAGACACCGGATAATCTTAGCTAGAGAATCGGTATTGTTTTCGGCGGATTTGGAATTTATGTCTCATTTCTCATCCATGCTAACATTAACTGGCTGGCTAAAATTGATGATGTGAGATGAGGCGGCAAGCGACCACATAGCTATCCAGCTAGTTGAAGAATACTCCAAGGAAAGAGAAGGAAAGACTGTTCACTTCTCTCACTCCTTTAACGCCAACTGGAATATCTTATTTGTTTTGACGATATGGTGTTTAACTCGTGAGCAAATGTCTAAGTTAGAGTTAATGTTAGTCTAACATGACACGCGCCACAGTTTCCCCACTTTTCAACTGGACCCAAGACTAGGGACTTTTCCCTCAATGGAATTCAAGTAGTGGTAAGTGCCAGCTAGCCTGACCACCCATTTCTCTTTTGATATCTCCACCAGATGTGTTTTCGCTGGGCCTACAATGTAATTTGTTTCCAGCCAACAGTCTGACCCTGCCACACTTTGTTTGGTAGTTAAGCCACGTACTGTATGTGCTTAGCTACAGTGCCTTGCAAAAGTATTCAGACCCCTTGTATTTCTTCACATTTTGTGTTACAAAGTAGGATTCAAATTGATTTAATTGTCATTTTTTTGTCAACAATATACACAAAATACTTAAATGTCGAAGTGGAAATAAAATTCGAAAATGTTCAGAACTGAGCTGCAGGACAGGAATGAATCTGCTCAAGGGATGTTACCATGGCAGGAGGCTATTGGTGATTTTAAAACAGCTAGAGTTCAATGGCCTAAATGCAAATCCAACACAACACATCACTGAGTACCTGCCTCCTTATTTTCAAGCATGGTGGTGGCTGCATCATGGTATGGGTATGCAAATACTGGGGCGTTTTTCAGGATAAAAAGAAACGGGATAGGGCAACAAAAACAAACAATCTCTGTGTGTATCCTACCTGCCCCTTTTAAAGTACTACTTAAGTAGTTTTTGGGGTATCTTTACTTTACTATTTATGTTTTTTATTTTTACTACACTACATTCCTAAAAAATATAATGTACTTTTTACTCCACACATTTTCCCTGACACCCAAAAGTACTCATTACATTTTGGATGCTTAGCAGGACAGGAAATGGTCCAATTCAAGTCCCCTGTAGCTCAGTTGGTAGAGCATGGCGCTTGCACTTATCAAGAGAACATCCCTGGTCATCCCTACTGCCTCTTGATCTGGAGGACTCACTAAACACATGCTTCCTTTGTAAATTATGCTGGAGCGTGCCCCTGGCTAGCTGTAAAAAACAAACAATTTGTGCCATCTGGTTTGCTTAATATAAGGAATTTGAAATAATTTATACTTTTACTTTTGATACTTAAGTATATTTAAAACCAAATACTTTTAGACTTTTACTCAAGTAGTATTTCACTGGGTGACTTTCAATTTTACATGAGTAATTTTCTATCAAGGTATCTTTACTTTTATGACAATTGGGTACAATTGGGTACTTTTTCCACCACTGGTAACCAAGAAGCTTACATTTACATTACATTTTAGTCATTTAGCAGACGCTCTTATCCAGAGCGACTTACAGGAGCAATTAGGGTTAAGTGCCTTGCTCAAGGGCACATTTACGTCATTTAGCAGACGCTCTCAGCCAGAGCGACTCACAAATTGGTGCATTCACCCTATAGCCAGTGGGATAACCACTTTACAATTTTTTTTGGGGGGGGTAGAAGGATTACTTTATCCTATCCCAGGAATTCCTTAAAGAGGTGGGGTTTCAAATGTCTCCGGAAGGTGGTGAGTGACTCCGCTGTCCTGGCGTCGTGAGGGAGCTTGTTCCACCATTGGGGTGCCAGAGCAGCGAACAGTTTTGACTGGGCTGAGCGGGAACTATGCTTCCGCAGAGGAAGGGGAGCCAGCAGGCCAGAGGTGGATGAACGCAATGCCCTCGTTTGGGTGTAGGGACTGATCAGAGCCCGAAGGTACAGAGGTGCCGTTCCCCTCACTGCTCCATAGGCAAGCACCATGGTCTTGTAACGGATGCGAGCTTCAACTGGAAGCCAGTGGAGTGTGCGGAGGAGGGGGGTGACGTGAGAGAACTTGGGAAGGTTGAACACCAGACGGGCTGCGGCGTTCTGGATGAGTTGTAGGGGTTTAATGGCACAGGCAGGGAGGCCAGCCAACAGCGAGTTGCAGTAATCCAGACGGGAGATGACAAGTGCCTGGATTAGGACCTGTGCCGCTTCCTGTGTAAGGCAGGGTCGTACTCTCCGAATGTTGTAGAGCATGAACCTGCAGGAGCGGGTCACCGCCTTGATGTTAGCGGAGAACGACAGGGTGTTGTCCAGGGTCACGCCAAGGCTCTTCGCACTCTGGGAGGAGGACACAACGGAGTTGTCAACCGTGATGGCGAGATCATGGAACGGGCAGTCCTTCCCCGGGAGGAAGAGCAGCTCCGTCTTGCCAGGGTTCAGCTTGAGGTGGTGATCCGTCATCCATACTGATATGTCTGCCAGACATGCAGAGATGCGATTCGCCACCTGGTTATCAGAAGGGGGAAAGGAGAAGATTAGTTGTGTATCGTCAGCGTAGCAATGATAGGATGATAGCTTGATCTTGACATCTAGCCACGTATTTCAAAATACCCCGGTATATGGTATGAATGGTATATCACACAAGCCTAATCAAAACACAATAATGTTGAATTTCTGCAATTGAATTGGCTACAATGGGAAATCATAGTAGTCACAAGCCACAGTTGGATTCACAAGTTTGGGCAGCACAGTACAGTACAGTGAATAAAAGTATAGTACTCTAGAGTTGCGTTCAGTATTGTACACACTAGAGCACACTAGAGTTGAGTACACTATAATGTACTGTACTGTACTAAACTCTACTATACTCTACCTTACTGTACTGTACTCTACTGTAATGAACTCTACTGTAATGTACTGAACTCTACTGAGCTCTACTGTGCTGTACTTTGATGTCCAATTTTGTGAAACATAGACGTCTATGATTGGTTCAGATTTGGTCCGAGCAACCAAATTTGGTCTTGTTTTGGTGCAGAGCTTATAAAAATAATAGTAATACCCAAATATGCAAAGGAGGCATATTTCTACCTTTGTGTACCTATTTAGGATACATCACCATGGAAAATGACATTCATATCCATAATTATGCTTTTCTGTGTAGTACAGATGAGGGACCCATGATGAAATTCTGTTACCGTAATTATTTTACCGGGTGTAGCCTAAATCCACTTCACTTACTGTAGTTCATCAACCAAGATATTTTTTCAAAGCCAATGTGTCATGTCTTAGCTGACACCCTATTATTTCTGCAGACATCGTTGAATCTTAATTCGGACCAGATATTTAAGGTTTCCTATGGAGGATTGACAGTATAATTTAAAACAAGATATTCCCATTCAAGTCAACATTCTCTGATGTGTTGTCCTCCAACCATCTTTGTGGTACCATTTGAAAGTTGACATTTAAATTGTATTCCCATTTTAGTATGTTTATCAGCCAAAACATGACACCCAACCTGTATTCAAGAGCATGTTGTCTCAACCGATGGGGGGCGCAACACAACCTTAGATTATGTAAAATAGGGTCTAAGATACAACATATGCGAATATGAAAAAAAATGGGAGTTTACACGTTTTTAGATAATTGATCTTAAAGGTAAAAAAATTATCATGTTTATTAAACTTTTTTTCCAATAAATAATAAAATAGTTTGACAACACTGTTTGTAAGCTTTTAAATGATATCAATCTCAACCGTTTATATTTTCAGTGATGAAGACATGGATGTCTCATGTTATGGTGGGGTATGGGCAATTCCATGATAACGGAATTGAGCTGTGATTTCTTTCACTTAAAATATATGACAAACAAAAACCATTGATTTCAAAGTTTAACAAACCATACAACTCTGCACAAGGACTACTTTTAACAATTGACACTGAACATTTGATAAACACATTTACTGGAAGAACTGTGCAAATGCAATGTTTGGTAACACAATTTCAGTAGAATCTCCCTCCGTTTATTATGTGACCACATTTTCCAAAAACTCTGTTAAATCTCTGCTCCGAAATAATTAGGTGTTAGCTATGACATTACACCTTGAGTTTGAAAAAATCTCTTTTGGTTATTGAACTACAGTAAGCGGTAACGGAATTTCATCATGGGTCCCTGACCTAAATGCATCATTATGGATATGAATGTCATTCTCTTCATGGTGATGTATCCTAAATAGGTACATAAAGGTAGAAATATGCAATATCCTCCTTTGCATATTAGTATTATTCTACACACTGGCAATTATTTTGATGATCTCCAGCACCAAACAAGAACACATTTTGTTTGTCCCTACCGGACCAAATCTGAACCAATCATAGACGTCTATGTTTCACAAGTTTGGACATCAAAGTACAGCACAGTAGAGCTCATTAGAGTACTACTGCACAGAACAGTAGAGTTCAGTACAGTGCATAGATTATAGTAAAATAGAGTATAGTTCAGTACAGTAGAGTTTAGTACAGTAAAGTAGAGTACATTATAGTATACTCAACTCTACTGTGCTCTACTGTGTACTGTACTGAACTCTGCTCCACTATTCTACTCTACTGTACACTACAGGACTGTAATATACTGAACTATACTCTACTCTACCTTTCTTTACTGTACTGAAGTCTACTTTACTGTACTGTGCTGTCCAAACTTGTGAAACATAGATGTCTATGATTGCTTCAGATTTTAAATGAAGGCTAGTCCGGACCGGACCAAAAAATAACTTTTCAACATCCATGGACGTCCAGTGTCGGTCGGTGCTCAGTGTGTGAGGATGCTGGTTGCAGTAAATGGAAGGAGAAGGGCTCATGGGTAGGTTTCAGTAGGAGCTGGGACAGGACATTAATGAGGGAGGGAGAGAGAGACTGTCCAGACTTTTCACACTCTTGCTTTGACCACCAGACGACAGAAAGAGAAAGAAAACAGGCAACAGCTGAACATAACAGTATGCTAGGGGGAGGGAGGACAGTAGCAGTAGACCCAACTGTGGTTTGTACTATGATTTCCCATTATAGCTAATTCAATTGAAGAAATTCCGTTACAATTTTATTTTATTTTGTTCTGCTACCAATTTGGTAACAGAATTTTGAGTTTTAATCACTTAATAATTCACAAACAAAATTGACATCAGTAAAAACACTAACTAATTGACAGGTCTACCTTTACTGTTACTTCTGGGAACTTTCATTATCCTCCCTCCTCATGAGGGAGAGAAATGACAAAATATCTGAAAGATATGTGGGTTTTTGATAACGGAATTTCAAGGCACAAGGCAATATTTCTTAAACTTACAGAAGGCAGAAAAATGTATCCTAAACTAAATATAAGTGTTGATATTAGTTGGCAGGGGTCTTTACTTCAACATTATTGTGTTTTGATGTATTTCTAATACCTTTTAAGCCTTTTCTGGTAGATGTTTTCTAAGACCCCTTTTCCGTTTTCTAAGACCCCTTTTCCATCTGTTTGACAAGAAATCAAAGCCTTTGCTTATTCCAAATTTTTAGGATGGAAAATGGTTGGAAATATATATATGCCTTTATTTCTGAAAAATATAGACCCTTAGCTTTCATTTGACACGTTCCTATGAACTTCACATGTTAGTGCTCATGGGACCTTTTACATGGAAATGACTGAATGCAAAATGGGTTAACTTTGGCATTCAGGTCCAAAAGGTTACTTTCTGATCACTTCTACAATGGGCAAAAAACGTATGGAAGGTTTAGTTCAAATCAAAGGGGGTGCTGTCAAAAAGTGACTGAATTCAATTCAAATGGATTTAACCCTCTCTAGCTGTCTCTCCCCCCCCCCCCCCCCCCCAGCCCAGTCAAAGCTATTCGCTGCTCTGGCACCCCAATGGTGGAACAAGCTCCCCCACGATGCCAGGACAGCGGAGTCACTGACCACCTTCCGGAGACACTTGAAACCCTACCTCTTTAAGGAATACCTGGAATAGTATAATAGTAATCCTTCTACCCCCCTTTACTACCACTGTATTTTGTCTAAACTAACACCTGACTTATTTCACCTACTAGCACTGACTTGTTTAAAGAAATGTACTTATTGTGATTGAGATGTAGTTGTCCCTGATTGCACTGACTTTGCTCACAGCTGCTTGTTTTCAGAAGTGAACTTACTGTGATCAAGATGTGGTTGTCCCACTGGCTATCCTAAGTTGAATGCACCAATTTGTAAGTCGCTCTGGATAAGAGCGTCTTCTAAATGACTTAAATGTAAATGTAATATGATCACCATCGTGTTGCTTTACAAAGTTTAGTACTTTATAGGCCTATTTTCTGTTTGTGCAGTCTTCTAGGAACCACAGTGTGAACAGCTTTGATAGAATAAAGTTTCAGAGGCTCAGGTTCCTTTTCTCCCTGCTGAATAGTAAACCGTGTTCTCCTCAGAGGGCTTAGGTTTAGGTTTTTTTATGCGAATGTATCATCTTATCATGACTCGGTACCATATACCAGGTACACATTAACAGTAGACCAGGGCAATGTATATTTTTATGCTTATAAATCCTCTTCAATTAGCAGTCTTCTATCCTGGAGCCAAATTAAATAGTGTATTTATCTTTAATTCTTCATACAGAGTGCAGCGTTGTGAATAACAGTAGCCTAACTGCTTAGAAGATCATGGTGTGCCCTTAGGTGATATTTCCATATATACCCTTATATGCTTTAAAAATTGATAAAAAGGCATGTGTCATCCATGTTATTTAGAACAATGGGCTCTGCGCCTCTGCAGAATGTGGAGTAGGACCAGTCCAGACTGCTGGATAATAGGACCTGAGTCCAGACTGCTGGATAATAGGACCTGAGTCCAGACTGCTGGATAATAGGACCTGAGTCCAGACTGCTGGATAATAGGACCTGAGTCCAGACTGCTGGATAATAGGACCTGAGTCCAGACTGCTGGATAATAGGACCTGAGTCCAGACTGCTGGATAATAGGACCTGAGTCCAGACTGCTGGATAATAGGACCTGAGTCCAGACTGCTGGATAATAGGACCTGAGTCCAGACTGCTGGATAATAGGACCTGAGTCCAGACTGATAGCTAATAGGACCTGAGTCCAGACTGATCAATAATGAACTTGAATTATCAAGTGCAATAAAGTTCACTGTCTTCTTATCCCCCCCAGGTGAGGACAGCCGCATGGCAGACGAGCTGTACAAGAAGGTGCGCATCCTGTGCTGGGTGATGACGGGGCCCAACAACCTGCAGAAGAAGGCCCGCCACGTGAAGAACACCTGGAGCCGCCACTGTAACGTGGTGGTGTTCATGAGCTCTGTGGATGACCCTGACTTCCCCACCGTGGGCCTGGGCACCAAGGAAGGCCGCGACCAGCTCTACTGGAAGACCATCCAGGCCTTCCACTACGCCCTGGAGAAACATGGCAACGAGGCCGACTGGTTCCTCAAGGCCGACGATGACGCCTACGTCATTGTGGACAACTTGCGCTGGGTGCTGGCCAACCACACGCCCGAGCACCCGTCTACTTCGGACGCAGGTTCAAGCCCTTCACCAAGCAGGGCTACATGAGCGGCGGGGCAGGCTACGTGCTGAGCAAAGAGGCCCTCAGGAGGTTCGTGGAGGGCTTTAAAACCAAGGTGTGCACCCACACCACCCACGTGGAGGACCTGGCCATGGGCCAGTGCATGGAGAAGGTGGGGGTGGTGGCTGGGGACGCCAGAGACACTGTCCTCAGGGAGACCTTCCACCCGTTTGTCCCCGAGCAGCACCTCACTGCCAAGTTCTCCAAGAGCTTCTGGTACTGGAGTTACTGCTACTACCCCATCTCAGAGGCAAGTACGATACAGTAGAGTATCTCAATACTGTGACTATCTATTTGGAAAAAATAAAATGTTTGATAGGTAGTTAACGTTAGTTAGCGCTAATCCGTTGTACCCGCACCAAATCTCCGGTATTTCTTATCCTACAGCTTGTTATTCATCTTCTTTTTAAATGTTGTAAATGTTTTGAGTACTTTTATCTCCAAAACACGTTCTCTCTTGTTCTTCTGCAGCAGACATGTAGAGAGATTCTCAATTGGGCAAAAGTCTGACCTCTCCTTGACTCCTCCGTCCTCCCTCCTCATTGACTCGGAAACTGATAAGTGGTCGAGTCCTTGCGGAGAGTGTCAATTCATTAGTAGGCGAACGAAGGTATCAAGGAAGTGTTTTAAAATCCTCCACAACCCCTTTGAATCAGCTGTTTTCTTGAAGGAGAAAAGCATGCACACATTTAAAAACGATATGCTACTTATCCTTTTATCTATAAATGTCTTGCACAACTACAGTTGAAGTCGGAAGTTTACATACACCTTAGCCAAATACATTTAAATTCAGTTTTTCACAATTCCTGACATTTAATCCTAGTAAGAATTCCCTGTCTTAGGTCAATTAGGATCACAACTTTATTTTAATAATGTGAAATGTCAGGATAATAGTAGAGAGAATTATTTATTTCAGCTTTTATTTATTTCATCATATTCCCAGTGGGTCAGAAGTTTACACACACTCAATTAGTATTTGGTAGCATTGCCTTTACATTTTTTAACTTGGGTCAAACGTTTCGGGTAGCCTTCCACAAGCTTCCCACAATAAGTTGGGTGAATTTTGGCCCATTCCTCCTGACAGAGCTGGTGTAACTGAGTCAGGTTTGTAGGCCTCCTTGCTTGCACACGCTTTTTCAGTTCTGCCCACAGATTTTCTATAGGTTTGAGGTCAGGGCTTTGTGATGGCCACTCCAATACCTTGACTTTGTTGTCCTTAAGCCATTTTGGCACAACTTTGGAAGTATTATCCATTTGGAAGACCCATTTGCGACCAAGCTTTAACTTCCTCATGATGCCATCTATTTTGTAAAGTGCACCAGTCCCTCCTGCAGCAAAGCACCCCAACAGCATGATGCTACCACCCCCGTGCTTCACGGTTGGGATGGTGTTCTTCGGCTTGCAAGTCACCCCCTTTTTCCTCCAAACATAACGATGGTCATTATGGCCAAACAGTTCTATTTCTGTTTCATCAGACCAGAGAACATTTCTCCTAAAAGTATGATCTTTGTCCCCATGTGCAGTTGCAAACCATAGTCTGGCTTTTTTATGGCGGTTTTGGAGCAGTGGCTTCTTCCTTGCTGTGCGGCCTTTCAGGTTATGTCGATATAGGACTCGTTTTACTGTGGATATAGATACTTTTGTAACTGTTTCCTCCAGCATCTTCACAAGGTCCTTTGCTGTTGTTCTGGGATTGATTTGCACTTTTCGCACCAAAGTACGTTCATCTCTAGGAGACAGAATGCGTCTCCTTGCTGAGTGGTATGAAGGCTGCGTGGTCCCATGGTGTTTATACTTGCGTACTATTGTTTGTACAGATGAACGTGGTACCTTCAGGCGTTTGGAAATTGCTCCCAAGGATGAACCAGACTTGTGGAGGTCTACAATTTTTTTTCTGAGGTCTTGGCTGATTTCTTTTGATTTTCCCATGATGTCAAGAAAAGAGGCACTGAGTTTGAAGGTAGGCCTTGAAATACATCCACAGGTACACCTCCAATTGACTCAAATGATGTCAATTAGCCTATCAGAAGCTTCTAAAGCCATAACTTCATTTTCTGGAATTTTCCAAGCTGTTTAAAGGCACAGTCAACTTAGTGTATGTAAACTTCTGACCCACTGGAATTGTGATACAGTGAATTATAAGTGAAATAATCTGTCTGTAAACAATTGTTGGAAAAATTACTTGTGTCATGCACAAAGTAAATGTCCTAACCGACTTGCCAAAACTATAGTTTGTTAACAAGGAATTTGTGGAGTTGTTGAAAAACACGTTTTAATGACTCCAACCTAAGTGTACGCCCATGGGGCGGCGCACAATTGGCCCAGTGTCGTCCAGGGTAGGGGAGGGAATGGCCGGCAGGGATGTAGCTCAGTTGGTAGAGCATGGCATTTGCAACGCCAGGGTTGTGGGTTCGATTCCAGTATGAAAAAAAAAATGTATGCACTCACTAACTGTAAGTCGCTCTGGATAAGAGCGTCTGCTAAATGACAAATGTAAATGTAAACTTCCGACTTCAACTGTAACTTAATTTGTTTTTATCACTCTATACTTATGGGGGGGAATCCACCCCTGTAAACGTAATTTGCTTGATGACACACAAGTAGAGGAGAGTCTCATTTCATACAAGCACATTTGTTTCCACGTTTGTTTTTCAAAAAGAGGAGAGGACAGAGGAAAGGTGAGCAACACCAGTTGAGATTCTCCCATATAGGGTTGCAAAAATCCCCAAATCCCTGTTTTTCCAGAAAACCCAGTTGGGAAAACGTGGTAATTTTGGGAAAGTTACCTGATTTTTGAAACCCTAAGTGAGCAAATGTTTGGAACATTGAATCACAATAAAATCGCAGTATCAAATTGCAATACATATAGAATCGTGATACATATCGTATCGACACCCAAGTATTGTGATAATGTCATATCGTGAGGTCCCTGGCAAAGAAAAACATAATTACCAGACTTATCAATAGACCAAGGTGTCATGGACTATTTACTGAATGCCCAGGATAATACCAGGTGTTGATAATAACTGTCCTATTTAAACCAGTTCTACCAGTGCTGCTGCTATGCCAATGTGGCCACAGTTAATGAGTGGGTAAAGCCTTTTGGCCCAATTATCTTTCACCTTGGCTTGATCCTGATACACACATGTAAAGCAGCTCATTCTTTGATATGGCTTTGTTATGGTTTAAAAAGCAATCAGTTATTCCTTGGATTTATTGGTTTTACCATGTGTAGGCTATTCATTGTCAGTGGGATCTAACTGTGTGGCAAGTGTGACTATGTGGTTGCTATAGTATTGTACTACCTGGTATTTTGTATAGCATCTCGGGAGATGTCCTTATTGAACCAAGGCAGAACTGGGACAGGTTGAAAGAAAACAGGGAAAAACAAGGGACTGATTGTGTTCCCACGTAATAGTGTGTAATCAACTTTTTGACTTACTGACAAAATGAGACTAGCACTACTATAGCATTACTAGTACATTGTCCCCTGTCCAGTATGTTGTTGTGTAATGCTAAACTGATCAAAGGCCTTGGTCTGCCCTCACTGTCTGTACCCTTCCCCATCCTGGCTCTAATCCTGGTGTTTTGTACCCTAGGGGGCAAATTGCTGCTCGGACCTGTCTGTGTCTTTCCACTATGTGGACGCGTCCCTCGTGTACCTGTTGGAGTACTACACCTACCACCTGCGTGCCTTTGGCTACAGGTACCGCTACCAGCCCCCGGGCCCCCTGGGCTATAAGATGGAGGCGTGGGACGGGTCAGAGGGGGGACACTCGTACTCCAAATAGCAGCCAGCCATCCCGAGGGTGCCGCTGGCGAGGGGGAGGGTCCGTCCAGGACAGACAGGAAACAGGAAGTGGTGCCTCCTGCTGCTGCAGGGGAGAAAGACCCACCTGCTGCTGCAGAGGATGAGTAGCAGTAGCAGCCTTGTTTGTCTGTATGTCTGAGATGAGTGTGTGTGGGTATGCTTGCTTTTGAGCATGCATGTTTTTACACATATGTGCAAGCACCTGCACAAGTGATTACTGAAGTGAAGAGACGGTGCAAACTGTGGTGCCTCCAAAGAAGCGTGCAGGTGGTGATGGATCTGCAAATAATTTCTACTGTGACTGAAAGATTGGCCTTTTGGCTGTGGGTTGGTTGGGTTGTCACTGGCGGCAACCCCATCCCTTTTTAGTCTGTGTAAAATAGTTTGTTTTATATTTAACATGATTGTTAACTCATACCAGTTTTAATCCATGTTGTTTTAATTCCCTCAGTTCTTGAACCACTGTCTTAAGACACATCAAATAACTGGATGTACTGGCTGGTTTAGGATCAGATAGAATAACTGGATTTACTGTTTGATTTAGGATCAGCTAGAATAACTGGATTTACAGCTTCGCCTACCCTAATAAAAACCTAAGCTACAAGGGGTTGAAAACCAAACCTGGTCTTAGATCTGCATTTATACCCATAGAGACAGGTGAAAAGATTATCTGTAATTAGACGTGAAGAAGACCAGCAGGTCGTTCAACCTCACTGATGCCCCCACTCCTTTTGGAGAGGGAGAAAGAGGGAGAGAGACTTTAATCCTAGGAGACCTGGCTTTCTCTCTTCTCTATCAGCCCCAGTAGCTTGGGCCTTATGAATCATGATTGTATGCACCGTCAGCTGCGCATTTTGACCCTGCACTGTGACAAGTCTGAGAATGATCTTTTCAGAGAGGAAGAATCTCGTTGTTTATACGTTCCACAGATATAGGCCAATAGGAAGGCCTTTTGTTGGGAGGTGGAGATGCCTTTTGGACATGTCGTTTGAACCTACCTGTGCATGATCAATTCAGTTATCTGTTGGATTAGATGATATTTTGTTCATTTGTTTTATTTTTGTTTTATTTATACTGAACCAAAATATAAACGCAACATGTAAAGTGTTGGTCCTATGTTACATGAGCTGAAATAAAAGATCCCAGAAATTTTCCATATGCACAGAACGCTTATTTCTCTCAAAGTTTGTGCACAAAATTGTTTACATCCCTATTAGTGAACATTTCTCCTTTGCCAAGGTAATCCATCCACTTGACCGGTGTGGCCAGAGAATTGAAAGTTCATTTCTCTACCATAAGCTCCAACGTGGTTTTCAGATGTTGAGGTCCTGGGCTGGCGTGGTTACACGTGGTCTGCGGTTGTGAGGCCGGTTGGACGTACTGCCAAATTCTCTAAAACGACGGCTTATGGTAGAGAAATTAACATTAAATTATCTGGTAACAGCTCTGGTGGACATTCCTGCAGTCAGCATGCCAATTGCACACTCCCTCAAAACTTGAGACATCTGTGACAAAACTGCACATTGTAGTGGCCCTGTGTAATGATCATGCTGTTTAATCAGCTTCTTGATATGCCACACCTGTCGGGTGGACTGATTATCTTGATAAAGGAGAAATACTCACTAGCAGGGATGTAAACAAATTTGTGTACAAAATTGGAGAGAAAGGCTTTTTGTGCGTATGGAACATTTCTGGGCTCTTTTATTTCAGCTCATGTTGAGCACACTTTACATGTTGAGTTTATATTTTTGTTCAGTATAGTTTACATTCTTGTCAAAGGGAACGGTGTACAGAACTGTATCTAATGTTTATTTATGTTGGCAGTGAACATATATATTAGTGTGAGTGTATATGTGTGTTTAAGAAGAGTTTGTCTGTTGATTGAATGTATTTAATTAAAAGTGCTGTAACCAGCATATTAAAGAAATACATATTTTACTTTACCTTTTGGGTCAATTGTGCTTTCTTCTGTTTGCATGGGATCGGGGGGGAGGGGTCATTTAGCTATAGGGTCATATACGTGGTCATTATAGGGGGGTATAACCATACTTTACAGTATGTTCTCAAAGGTGTGAGTTTACTCAGCTGTGTATTTCTTATCTCTCCCCACCCAGATGGGCTGAATTAGACTGATGTATTGACTGAACAGTAAGCCTGATGTGAGGTGACAATCATCTGAGGCACTCCAGGGGCTACCAAAGGTTGGTTGGTATATTATGCTATTCAACAAAACCCTTCATCTGGTAGAAAGTAGACATGGTCGTAATACATTAGGTAACATAACATAGAAATAACGTTCAATACAAAAATAACATTACATTCATTTGCAATACTTTACATGTGTGTTACATATATCCATTCATTCTCCTCTTATAGTGGTGACAAAAAGGAAAAATAGTCGTATCACGGCAAGACAATGGTTTCTTAGTGGAAAATAAAGTAACTCAGGATGAATGACGTGTATACAGTCTGGCGCAGTGCAGTCTGCTGTGCTGTGTTTGGTTGGTTGAAAGGGAGGAGGCGGGACCCTACACACCGGGTACAAACCTGAGCAGAGATGGAAGTAGAAAAAATGTAGCGCAAAACTCAGTGGTCAGATCAGATGACAGAGCAGCACTAACAGCAGCACAACAGTCCAGCCAGCACAGGGCTGATAACTAGTACAATCTTAGAGGCTTTCTGTTAGTGATTGTTTAATCGTTTAATATGAAGATTCAATTCATATTAGACCATAATGGTCTCTAACAGATATGGGTCTCAATCACAGATTACTTTGGAGTGTTGTTTTTGTACTGCTTGGTCATTTCATGTAAAAGTCCTACTTGCCTCAGTCTCCCTTTCTTGATGAGAATGCCTCCGCTTGGCTGTGGGTATGCCGCCTCCCTCCAGGGCTGAGGGATGGCTATCAACATGCACAGATCAACAAGTTAAACAAGCTTAGTTTGTAAACATGTTCCCCAGCAATCTTTAGCCATAAACTACTTTGGCATTTAGGAATTCCACAAAGTGCCACTAGAGGACAGACTGTCTCCAGCTTTTGCTTTCCCTCTCTACCCAGCCTCAGCTCTGTGTAGCCTATAGTAGCTAGTTACTCACCTGACCCGGAGCTCCTGCGACCCAGGAGGCCCACAAAGACATCATCCATGTCTCCTACAGAAAAAGAGGAGTCTTGTTCTTTAAAAACTTTATCATTACATACTGTATGCAACAGTGTTTATCATTACATACTGTGTCCAAGATGTTGGATACAATTTTACTTACTGATCTTACTTCTTCGTGACGGTAGAGCATTTACACCTGGAAATAATGATTGCATATTACTGTACAGTATGTTGTTACCACTGTTAAGAGTCCATCTAAATGCTGCATTTTACGGAATTTGTCTTCAGATGTATTAGTCACAGACAAGCTGCCTTCGATAAACCTACTGTATATCTGCATAAATCCATAATGCATGTGGCCATCCATATTGAAGAGCCAGCTACCAGTGATGGCAAACAAAGGCTCTTTAGGACCCCAGAGTCCCAGACTCTCACCTGCACTCCTCCTGCCCATCAGACCCACAAAGGTGTCGTCGTGAATGTCCCTGTACCTCTTAGAATGAGTTAAATCACTGCTGAGGTAATATGGGCTGTCCTGGGAAAGCAGAGAGTTTGTATCAATAAAATGACTTCATTGTTAAATTGATTTTAAATGTTTTTTATTTTGTGAGCTACAGACCAACGGCTACAAGACCCAATTTGAGGAAAGGGCAAAACCTTAGACTTAGAAATGTAATTTAAATACTAGAGCAGTCTGTACCTGCATTATTGAGTTGTAGGAGTCCTCTTCACAGTCTGACTCCATGGGACATGAGATGAGGATAACCAGGAAAGTCAATATGCCCAGCGCCCAGCCGTGTCTCATCGTCTCTCTGCTGTCCAAGTGGGATACAGTGTTCTCTGCAAACTAAGACAGGAGAAATGCCAGCCATGCCAACCATGAGAAACGGGATGGGTAAAATGTTCAAATAGGTCTAGAAATTCAAATATTTGTACTGAAAAAATTGTTAATATATCAATTTTGTCAAACGAATCCTTTTAATATGAGTATCGGGTTTTTTAAAAATCCAGACGTACATTATACATTTTTTCTCAAGATGACATGACAATAGCTGAATTTATGAGGCTGCTTTGGTCATATTTTTTCTATTATTTTGAGTATTTAAAAAACTATGGAAATAAGTATTTTGATATAAAGTAGCCTACAGGAAGTATTTTCCAAGCCCCCCAAACACAAATTATATTGTACAAATAAATACTGGGGGAAAAATGTAAAATAAAGCACATCACTGGATGATATTAGATTACAATATTCTCTAAATATGAGAGTACACTTATTGATGTTTGGCAACACAAGACTGTGTCCCTGAAAAATCAGTGCAATGTAGGTCTATCTTACTTTTAGCATTATACACATATTCATACTGTATATACAGTGCCTTGCAACATAATTCAGAGCCCATGGATTTCTTCACATTTTATTGTGTTACAAAGTGGGATTAAAATGGATTTAATTGCTACAATTCTAATAGTTTGCCTAATTTCAGTTTATGTGACAAAACAAGCAAATATAGATAGTGTGGAGAATCATTGTACCATCTAAACCGCTGTGAAATATATTTTCCATAACCAAAAATAGTATATTTTCAGCTGTTTGAAGCTGGTGTACAAAACCAAAAGTAAAAGAGCAAAAATTTAATTTAAGAAGCATAGAAATAGCGAACATAGAACAGATCTACCGCTTCTTAGACTTGCTTTCAATGAGAATGACAGATCTATAACTCACAATTCTATGTGAATTTGGTCGGGTCGCCAAAAAGTTACATATTGCAGCTTTAAGATTACTTTATTTTATTTTATATAAAATATAGTCGTTGCATAAGTATTCAACCCCTTTGTTTAGGCAAGCCTAAATTAGTTGAGTAAAATATGGCTTAACAAATCACATAATAAATTACATGGACTCCCTCAGTCAAGTTATTGAATCTCAAGCACAGATTCAACTACAAAGACCAGGGAGCCTCGTAAAGAAGGGCAGTGATTGGTGGATATATCTTTAAGCATGGTGAAGTTAACAATTATGCTGTGGATGATGTATTAAACCATCCAGACACATCAGAAATACAGTTGTCCGTCTGAACTGAGCTGCAGGACAGGAATGAAAGTTCTAAGCACAGGCAAAATCCTAGAGGAAAACCTGCTTCAGTCTGCTTTACACCAGACACTTGGAGAGGAATTCACCTTTCAGCAGGACAATAACCTACAACACAAAGCCAAATCTACAATGGAGTTGCTTACCAAGAAGACAGTGAATGTTCCTGAGTTACAGTGTTGTCTTAAATCTGGTTAAAAATCTATTGCAAGACTTAAAAAATGGCTGTCTAGTCATGATCCCCAACATCTTGACAGAGCTTGAAGAATTATAGATTTACCCAAGAAGAATCACAGCTGTAAACGATGCCAAAGGTGTTTCTAACATGTATTGACTCAAGGAGCTGAATGCTTATGCAACGACTATATTTTAGTTATTACATTTGAATTGATCTTTAAAAGAAAATACAAATGTTCTTCCACTTTGACATTACAGATAATTTTGTGTAGATTGTTGACAACAAATGACAATTAAATCAATTTTAATCCCACTTTGTAACACAATAACATGAAGAAAGGGTTCTGAAAATACTTTTGCAAGGCACTGTATATGCTATAGCTTTAGTGAGAGTTACAGGTATACTTTTTAACTAAAAAGACATAGGCCTACAAGGAATAATGTCTATCTTTTTACAAGACATGACAGTTTAGCTAAGAATTAGACTTTCTTTTTTTAACGATAAAATAAAAAATATGAAACATTAAAAAAACGGATTACTTTAAAATTAAAACATTAACAAGACAACAATTCTTACCTTAATGATATTTGTTCAATCTTATGTCGATGAAAGGGAGAACCTGATGTTTATTTTTCCGTATAGCCCTCCTATGTTCTACAATGAAAAGGAAATGTCCATGTCCTGTGGAAATTCCACCACAAATGATCTCTCCCAATATCTGCCCGATTATTATAGGTACAGCGGAGCACATGTGCTCCAATCAGGGTTTGATCAGCTACCCAATCCCTCTCCCTCTCTCTCTCTCTCTCTCTCTCTCTCTCTCTTGCTCTCTCACCATCTCTTTCTCTCTCTCTCACCATCTCTCTCGCTCTCTCACCATCTCACTCTCACACCATCTCTCTCTCTCACCATCTCTCTCTCTCTCTCTCTCTCTCTCTCTCTCTCTCTCTCTCTCTCTCTCTCTCTCATCATACTTAGTAACAGGTACATGACATTTGATTATAACCACAGGATATTGCAATACTCATGACCTTTTACCACAATGGTAGGCTACTGTATGAATAACTAACGGTTAACTCGAGAATTAGTGAAGTGAAAATTGCAATACCATTTTCCAGTCCCAATTACATTTTTCAATTGCGCTGGTAATGCAGTGGTTTAGGGCATTCTAACAGTCCCAAGCCATTGCATTTACAGTAGACAACTGTATGTGGCAAGACACAGATGCTGTCAACCTAAACGACTTTTTATGCATACTGTATTATCCTCTCAGTAAATGTCATACCTCTGAGTAAATCTTGTGGGTGTATGCATCTCCATCAGCGTCTGTGCTTCTGGTTCTGACTCATAGAGATGTATCAGTCTCAATATGTGGCAGATATCTTGGACAAGGGGGTTGGGGGGTTGAATTTTCATTGAAAACAATTGTAATTACTTATGAGCAGATGAGCAGTGGTGGAAAAAGTACCCAATTGTCATACTTGAGGAAAAGTAATGATACCTTAATAGAAAATGTAAAAGTGAAAGTCACCCAGCAAAATACTACTGGAGTAAAATTCTAAAAGTGTTTGTTTTTAAACAGGGGCACAACTTTGGTTTTAGAAGTGGGGGGGACATAATTATTAAAATATAATTTTTATCCAGTCGGATAAACACTCCAAACAGCCTTCCCGACTGCTCGGAGGCATCCACATGGTCCTAAAGCACACCATTGCCCTGTTTTGTATCACATTCCAATGATAAAACTGGGGGTGACAAAAATGCAATTTGGACATGTCCCCCACGTCTCCATTGAAAGTTGCGCCCCTGGTTTTAAATATACTTAAGTATCAAAAGTAAGTGTAATTGCTAAAATATACTTAAGTATCAAAGTAAAAGTAAAAGTATGAATCATTTCAAATTCCTTATATTAAGAAAACCAGACGGAACAATTTTCTAGTTTTATTTATTTATGGATAGCCAGGGGCACACTCCAACACTCAGACATAATTTACAAATGAAGCATTTGTGTTTGTGAGTCCGCCAGATCAGAGGGAGTAGGGATGACTAGGGTTGTTCTCTTGATAGGTGTGAATTGGATCCTTTTCTGTCCTGCTTAGCATTCAAAATGTAACGAGTACTTTTGGGTGTCAGGGAAAATGTATGGAGTAAAAAGTACATTATTTTATTTAGGAATGTAGTGAACTAAAAGTAGTCAAAAATATAAATAAACTCAGCAAAAAAAGAAACGTCCTCTCACTGTCAACTGCGTTTATTTTCAGCAAACTTAACATGTGTAAATATTTGTATGAACATAACAATATTCAACAACTGAGACATAAACTTAACAAGTTCCACAGACATGTGACTAACAGAAATTGAATAATGTGTCACTGAACAAAGGGGGGGTCAAAATCAAAAGTAACAGTCAGTATCTGGTGTGGCCACCGGCTGCATTAAGTACTGCAGTGCATCTCCTCCTCATGGACTGCACCAGATTTGCCAGTTCTTGCTGTGAGATGTTACCCCACTCTTCCACCAAGGCACCTGCAAGTTCCCGGCATTTCTGGGGGGAATGGCCCTAGCCCTCACCCTCCGATCCAACAGGTCCCAGACATGCTCAATTCGATTGAGATCTGGGCTCTTCGCTGGCCATGGCAGAACACTGACATTCCTGTCTTGCAGGAAATCACGCACAGAACAACCAGTATGGCTGGTGGCATTGTCATGCTGGAGGGTCATGTCAGGATGAGCCTGCAGGAAGGGTACCACATGAGGGAGGAGGATGTCTTCCCTGTAACGCACAGCATTGAGATTGCCTGCAATGACAACAAGCTCAGTCCGATGATGTTGTGACACACCGCCCCAGACCATGACGGACCCTCCACCTCCAAATCGATCCCGCTCCAGAGTACAGGCCTCGGTGTAACGCTCATTCCTTTGAAGATAAACGTGAATCCGACCATCACTCCTGGTGAGACAAAACAGCGACTCGTCAGTGAAGAGCACTTTTTGCCAGTCCTGTCTGGTCCAGCGACGGTGGGTTTGTGCCCATAGGCGACGTTGTTGCCGGTGATGTCTGGTGAGGACCTGCCTTACAACAGGCCTACAAGCCCTCAGTCCAGCCTCTCTCAGCCTATTGCGGACAGTCTGAGCACTGATGGAGGGATTGTGCGTTCCTGGTGTAACTCGAGCAGTTGTTGTTGCCATCCTGTACCTGTCCCACAGGTTTGATGTTCGGATGTACCGATCCTGTGCAGGTGTTGTTACACATGGTCTGCCACTGCGTGGACGATCAGCTGTCCGTCCTGTCCGTCCTGTCTCCCTGTAGCGCTGTCTTAGGCGTCTCACAGTATGGACGTTGCAATTTATTGCCCTGGCCACATCTGCAGTCCTCATGCCTCCTTGCAGCATGCCTAAGGCACGTTCACACAGATGAGCAGGGACCATGGGAATCTTTCTTTTGGTGTTTTTCAGAGTCAGTAGAAAGGCCTCTAGTGTCCTAAGTTTTCATAACTGTGACCTTAATTGCCTACCGTCTGTAAGCTGTTAGTGTCTTAACGACCGTTCCACAGGTGCATGTTCATTAAT